TTAGTATGTGGGATGTTCTTTATCTCTATGGGTTGTTGTCATTGTGGTTGTTACCTGCACTGCTGGGGATGGAACCCATGGTGTTGCACATGCTAAATAATGCTTGACCACTGAGCAATATTGCTGGTCCAGCCATATCTGAGTGTTATTATGTATGTATGTATGCCATAACACCCTCTGGCAGGCCCTGGTGAGTACCAGTGTTCTTGTGTCTTCCTGTGGCTGTCATGGTATGTCTTTTCAGAGGCTTAGGGTACCACTGTTCTTCCTAAGACTCTGCACTGATTGTCTGAGCTTATCCTGCTTCATGTACCCAGCCAACAGTCCACATTTTGAAGGACTTTCGAAGAAACCACAGGCAGAGAAACAAAACAAACCAACAGACAAAACTCACTTTCTTCCTACCTTCAAAGAGCCAGAAGCTCTAGCTGAGCAGGCCAAGCTTTTAGACAGGCAGACGATCGGCCTACAAGAATGATAATTTTAGGAGTCACAGAGTTGCAAATCTCCCAAAGACGGGCATTGTGGCATGACCCCAAGTGTTCAAGGTCTGCATCTTCCCATGAGTCACCAAACTAGTGCAGAAGATGAATGGCAGGCCAAACTGTATCACTCTTACATGTACACGCTTTTGGATGTGCTTGGCTCTCTGCAGCTGGCCAGCATACTGGGGTGTGCATACACCATGAATGAACTTCTAAGCAGAAGAATGCTGCCCTCTCAAGTCCTTCATCAATTTCCTCTGGAAGCCCCAGAATCCGAAATGTGATGTTATTTGTAATTGATTAAGGTCTGAGTTTGTGCTACTCAGAGTTACATTTAATCTGTATTTTATTACTTTAAATAGAGTTTGATCTAGTTAGCGAGTTTTTAGAAATACAACTCCTAATAGAATCCTTTCTAAGGATGCCCTGGCTCCGGGATGAGAGGACAGTAGCCAAGACAGTAATTTTCAACCTTCCTTGCTTCCGGTCTTTAGGAATCTACACAAATCACAAGCCTTCCTCAGACATGCAGCATGTTGTGAGGAGATCTATTCCTGGTGACGTCTTCCAGCCTCTGAGAATAGAGGTTGCAAAGTGCTTTCAAATGTGTCTATTATTGAGCATGCTTTGGAATGTATGCTCTTCATTTCTTTGCCCTCACTTAAATATATCAGTTTCTTTGAAAACAGAGAACTCAGAATCCTTGGAACAACTAATGGCTCACATGATTACATACTCTTCACTTGACTTTTTAAGAACTGTATTGGAAAATGCCAAGTGGTGGCATAGAGGACCTCACTTGCTCAGCAACAGTGACATTGGGCTTGAGATACACACACACACACACACACACACACACACACACACACACACACACACACTGTTTCATGGTTCCTAAAAGCTGTGGCACATCCTGTGCAAACATATTAGTTACTTTTCCATTGTTATGATAAAACACCATGGCCAATACAACTTTCTAAAGAGAATGGTTTATTTATGGCTTATGGTTTCAGAGGGTTAGAGTCCATGATGTCAGAGTGGACATAACAGGTAGCAGGTGGCTGGAGCAGCTGAAAGCTCACACCTCAGACTACAAACAGGAAGCAGAACACAAGCTAGAAATGCTTGGAGTCTTTTGAAGCCTCCGATCTTGCCCTCAGTGACATACTCCCTCCAGCAAAGCCACATATCTTAATCCTCTCCATACAGCTACCAACTAGGACCAAGCATTCAAATACCAGAGACTTCTGGCAACCAACCACTGCAAATGAAGCCTAATTGATCCCTGAATGCTGTGGGCTGTGCCACGTCTACGACACTGAGTCCTGCTCAGAATTCCCAGCAGATGGGAGATGTCAGAATAGACTGTTTGATGAATGTATTGGGAACTGCACAAATCCTAGGAATTTGGAGTGTGCTATGTGGCTGAGAACATAGCTCTTTACACAGCTTCTTCTCTGTCAACAGACTCAAAGGTCTTGGGAGGTGCTAAAACATTCTACCACATGTGCTGATTCTACTTAGAGAATCCCGTCTAGCTACCTGTTGCAGGGTCTCTTCCATCATTACCAGGACCTGATCCACCTGGCTCTCACTCATTGCTCTGGAGATTCTGGATTCCACAGTTGCCCTTTCATCTCCTTAGCAACGCTCTTCCCAGTTGTATTCCTCTAGGCACAGAGCCCAACATAATCACTCCAGGACAGATTTATACCGTGCTTTTTCATTATTATTCTCTTGAAGTAGGTCCGCTAACAACAAAAGTTAAAAGCTACTCCGTACCCAAAGTGCTGGTCATGCAACTTCAGTGCCAGCTGTTATGTGGGAGGATGAGGCCGGAGGATCATTTGACTCTAGGAGTCCAAGGGCAGCTTGGGCAACACATTGAATCTGTTCAATATGGTCTAGAGAAGAAAGGAGGAAGAGGAGATGGGAGGGAAGAATAAGAAGAAGCAGAGGAAGGGGAGGAAGATGGGGGGAGGGGAAAAGAGGAAGAGAGGGAAGGAGGGAGGACAATACAGACAATGAGCTCCATTGTTGGGAGGAATCTAGATCTCAGTAGGCAAGAGCCCATTGGGACATTTCTGGGTATAATCATGTTGAGATGGTCCAGCACTTAGATCTCAGAGAGTACATGGGGGAAAATCAACTGACAAAACAAATTGCAAACTGCTGACATCATTCGGGCTTTGTTTATGCCACATCAGTAAGACCAGCTAGGAAAACAAAAGTTGAAAGAACTTGACTGTCAGAATGATGCCAAATTACGGCTAGCCTCTTGGTTTTATTCTTTTTTTATTTAAATAACACAATCAAATCATTACTGAAGTACAGTGCATTGCCTCATTTTTCTGCTGACAGGTGTTGAATGACCTCCACCATTTCGCTTACACAAAACACACCACCACCCCTGCTTGTTTCAAATATTCTCTAATAGACTAAAAGACATCAAATGATTAAAATGTTTAGAATAATTCCACACTACCTAATATGTGTTCTTGGTGACAAGGCCATTATTCTTCATAAGTGCACTGTTCATGCCATTCGCAGCTGCCCAACATCTATGAAGGCATCAAGGTCAAGGTTTAAGACGAAAATCTGATTGATCCTTGGGAAACATCCATATCTCCAAAGTCATTATTGGCTACTCAAGACTAGCAACCAGGGGGATCAATGACCAGGAACAAAACCTGGAAAAACTGAGTAGAGCAGGAAAGACAAAATACAATTCGCTCTCCTTAGGTGCCATTTCTGAGATCTCCATTTCTGCCCACACAGAGATTCTTTCATCTGAAGATTTGCAAACAGTGGCGCTGATAATTCTATCAAGACCCTTGTGCACTGGGCATCTGCTATGCATTATGATCCCATATTAATGATGGAAAGATAATGATGACAAGAATGAAAACACATCAAAGGCAATCAGTAGCATTACATTAAAACTCCTGTGGCCGGCCCAGGGAAAAGAGCCTGGAAGAGTGGGGACTGTCTGATGCATCCTCATCTGTTTTCTGTTCTGCTAATGCTAAGATCCAGCTAGTTTTGAAAGTCTAATGCCTAAGGAGTTGAATTATTGCATTGTTCAAAGGGGCAGAAAACCCTCTTGGGAAATCAAGCATTTAGCTGAAGTGTTTTATTTAGGAAAAACACCAGCAGAGTTGAGTCAAGAAATGTTTTCCACTCCATCTGGTCTCATGTCTGCTCTCCATCCCGATTTGAGGAGGAGGTGACCTGATGGTCATCTTCGGGGTCTGGTAAAGTTTTTTTCAGGGAGAAGAGGGGCCCCAGGCAAGACCTTTGCACAGGAAAGGCTTCTCAGGTAAGTCAGTTATAGGACTGCCCAGTATGGGAGGACTGAAAGACAAAGCTGTCCTGCCCTGGGATACAAAGTTCAATGTCAACCGTGAGCAGACCACAGACCACAAATAAAAGCAGCTTCGTAGTCATGATTATTTGCCTTGGGAGAGAAAATGATTCAGAAAGGGCTATGCAAGGTTCTATGAAATTTCTCCAGTTTCAACAAGCCTAACAGGAAAGGGGTAGCAAAGAGAAAGGACTCCTGCAGTCTAAACCTTGAGCTGGACAAGTAGGGGCCAGCTACAAGGCTATGGTGTTTCCCAGAGCCGCCTAGGCATAGATTGGTAGTAGTTTGCAGAGAACACTGTGTTCTCCAGAGCGCCTAGAAGCTGCAGCAGTTTTCCAGAACTCAACTCCCTCCAGTCTCCTCCCCTCTCTGTTTCATAAGTTCGCATTCAAGAGAAAAGTCCGCTTCGCTGAGATCCTACTGTAAACCTAAGTCCTGAAGACCCTCCTTACCACTCCCTTGCAAAAGCTTTCTACAAGCGGTATGGGGCGGAATGGTCCAGAGCTGTCCCTGTTGGAGGCCGCTAGGATGAATGGCACACTACACTGCCTTCCTAGCTAGAAGGTGACAGTGCCACAAGCTGCTACCCACTCCCTGGCCCAAGGGTCTCAGCTTTCACAGAGTGGGCGGTTACGGAGCAGAAGAGCAGAAAAAGGGGTGAAGAGGTGGAGGTGTGCTCAGGCAGAGGGGGAAGGCGGGCCTTTGATGGAGGAGAGAGACCGGCTAAGGAGCAAGAGCCCTGGAGGAAGTGGGAGAGGAGTGGGAGGAGATACCAAGTAGGCGGAGGAGAGGCAAAGAGCCCGCCGGCAGGAGGGAGGGCTAGAAGAGGGGGAGAGGGGGCGGGACGTGGGCGTGGCCTCGTGGATACCCCGCCCCTCCCCGGCCCCGCCTCTGAGCCGTTCGCGGCGCTCTGCAAATATGAAGAGACTCTGCCGCGGCGGCAGTAGCGGCCACTGCATCTCCGAGCTGTGCACACCCGGGAGGGCCTCGGGACTGGGGCTAGGATCCAAGGGGCCGGGGCGGGACGCAGAGAGGCCAGGCTGCGGATCGGAATCCCGCGCGGACCGGGGCCCGACGGCGCCGAGGGAGCGCGCGCCCCGCAGCAGTCCCGCGCTGCGCCCACCGGGTATGGGGCGCGCGGCCGCCTGAGGCCGGGCCTGGCGGGCGCCCGCCGGGGGCTGCGGCCGAGGAGCCGAGCGCGCCCCGCATCGGAGCGGCCCGAGCACGCGCGAGGAGGGGACCGAGACGGACGACAGCGAGGCCCCGAGGAGCCCGGAGATGTCGCGTGTGCTCCGCATCCTGCTCGGATATCTATTCCCAGCCCTCCTGTTGCACGGTGAGTACTGGGGTGGGTGGATGGGGGGTCGCGTCTTCCCAACGGCCCACAGACTACGATGGGAGTCGCGATCCGTCGCTGGGGACACAGTGCGCCCACTTGCCCAATCCGGCCGGTGCGCAGAGCCCCTTCCCCCAGCGGCGCTTACGGTGGTTTTTGCTGCGGCAGTGTTCTTTCTGGAAGGATGCGAGCCTCGCCCAGACACATTTTATCTCTCACATCCGTAGCTGCACGGCCGACGGAAAACTTTTTTATCCACTCTGTGGGCCTTTCCAGCTGTAACCTGTCACGAAATCGCAGGCTTTGCGGTCCCCTTCCACCGCTGTCAGAGCGCAGCAGGGGCTCTCGGTGAGGTCCTGGCCTTTACGAGACTGTAAAGAGAAAGCTGTGATGGTTTATAGGGAGGACACGTCTCGCGGGTGTTTGTCTGCCGTCTGAGGACCAGCGTTTGTAAGTCGGCTTGCACCTTGGCTCTGCATTGAAGCTTAGTGTGCTGCTGAGTTCTCTGGGCACAAGGGGGTTCTTGGTAGCGGGTCATGAAAGCCAGACTGAAGGAGCTGCACGTCCAGATCCCTCAGGCTGGTGTGGGGGTTCAAGTCTTCTTGTGCTGCTGTTTGCGCTGGTTCTCCAGGCTGTAGAAAAAAAATCCTTAGCCAGACATCTGCGCTCACAGGGGTTCCAGAAATTGCACGGTGCAAAATAAGACAATTGCATTGGGGTGGACAAGGCATCTTTTACGACAGGTGGTTGTTGATAATTGTAACAGGCATTGGTCATTCTGTTCAGAGCAGTGGTCAGACACCTGACGTTTCAGCCGAGTGACTTCACTGTTCTCCTTTCTTGACACCCAAACCTGCAGCTGGCCTGTTGGGGCCGGGACTGTGGAGACCCTGACCCCAAGAGAACCAAGGGAAGGGAACTACAGGCTTCTGGGGTGCTGTTCTCTTTGTAGTCCTGCTGGGACAGCTTTCGAAGTTTCGCCCGAAGGCTTTGTGAACCTGCCTGCTCAATTGATTGCCAAGGTGTACACTGAGCCTTAGCCATCCCAGTGTCTTGAAAGTCAGGATGGAACGCTTGCAGTTCCAGGGCAAAAGAGAGAAGGTATAATTATAGGGTTGGACTTCTAGGCCCATCTGCTTAGAATTACAGAGCAGTTTTAATCTTTGGCTGAAACATGAAACAAATCAGAGCCAATGAACAGATCAAACAGCAGCTGCCACACACACAAGAAAAAAAAAAAAAGAGAGGATGAAACAGGCAAAATTGCCCCCTTGTTTAAAAAAGAAAACTGTTGTATGTCTGGGGGAAAGATAGTAGTACTGTCAAATGAAGAGTTACTTCAAAGTTTCACATCCATAGACTGTTTGCATGAAATCACGGCCGGTTGAGCTTCAGGGACCATCTTCACAAATGCACCATGGCCCCTCTCTGAGCCTTTTCCCCCTCTTGAGAAACGGGCTGTAATGATGTGCCTACCTACTTACCAATCCAACTGAGATAGGAGTAGCTGGCAGATATCAAGAGCCCGTATATACAAGTGTACCATTTGGTCCAGGGTAGCCAGACATCTCCCACATTTAAGTCGGGAGTCTGATTCCTCCCTGGGATCTGGGGAAGTCTCCCCAGTGGTGCCAGGAGATGAACAAGACGGAGGGCGGAACTGCAAGAGGCAGTCTGAGCTGTGAGTAGGAACAGGGCCAGAGAGCACGCATGTGTGTTTATGACGAGAACTGAAGATAAAAGGGGAGGTGTGAGAAGCTTAATTGGACAACCCAGATAAACCTTCACAGAGTAATGCCACTTCACGTGGAGGTTGCAAGGATGCAATTATTAAAACAAAAGCTGCCCGAAGATCGACTTAGATCCAGGAGGGGGTTGTGGGTTCGGCGCTAGAAGCCAACACAAGGAGTGGTTATTCAAGTTACAAATGCTCATGGTCTCAGAAAGGTTGGCCAAAAACTAGTTAGGATAGTCTAAGGCACCCGAAAGGATTTGAAATCCCTCCCCGCCCCAATTTTTATGTAATTGAAATATTTTAACAGAAAACAGGTATTAATCAACTTAACCCAAGAGAATGGCTTGGGGAGCTGTACCATTTGAGAGATAGGTGTTTTATAGGTTTCTAAAAAGTTATGCAGTGAAAGCTAGAGCCTGCTCAAATATCTCAGTAAAGATCACAAGTCAGAAGGAAATCCCCAAATGGGTTAACGATTTCTTTCCTGATATGTAGGCATGATTCGCCTACCATGTGATACCATTTGACGATGATAGCAGTTTTGTAGATAAAAGCAAGTGTCATGGGGCTCTAAATGTACTTGGAGCGACTTTAAAACGTTTCAGACTGCGTGTGCAGGTTTGCTGCAGGGACGGACGAGGTTAATGAGAAAAACACAATCCTTTCTGAAGGATTCCAACGAGGGTGCCGGTGGCAGTGCCATTATGTGTGGGATCCAGTCTTGGTCCCGTTCTCTTAGCCGCTTCGATTTCAATTCATTAGAAGTCATAAATCACCCCCCAAATCCTATCAGTGAGTAAATTAGCTCTCACGGGACCTGGGGCTTTGGGCTTTAAAAAAAAAAAAACTCTTTTATACAACTGTAAATGTAGTTCTAGACCCAAGTTCAAAGTGTGCCCATCAGCCTGCTTTCTTCCCCCGTCAGCTTCTGCAAGCAACTGCCCTTCTTAATCCAGATGAAGCCTCGTGAGCGTTACAAAGGTGCACAGCTGGCAGCTATCCATTATCACCGTTCTCTTTGCGTGAGATGAAAAGGCCGTTACGTTCGTTCACATGTCACATTTTAAAACTCCTTCAGCTCTAGACACAGACTAGCCAAGGTGTGGAGAATGAGTGAGGCCACACTGACAGTACAGGCAGCACACTTCCGTGGTGGAGCGGATGTCGGGAGATGGTTGTTTCTCAAACACTGTCTACTTCTGCAGGCTCCTTGGACTTTGCAGAGAAGTGGGGACCTTTGTAATTCTTCCCTTTGGTTTAACCTGTTCCATCAGATGTTTAGGGGCTGAGAAGATGGCTCCGTTGGTCAAGGGCTTGCCTTACAAGCAACAGGACTTGAGTTGGGTCCCCAGAACCTACATAAGCATACTTGTAGTTCCAGTGCTGAGAAGGTGGAGGCAGACATATGCCTGATCAGCCAGGCTTGCCTACTTGAATAGTGGGCCAGTGAGAGCCTGTCTCAAAAAAAAAAAAATGTAGTATCTGAGGCCTAACACTGAGGTTGTTCTCTGGCCTTCACACACAGGAATACACCCACGTGACCCTACACACACACAGACCGAGAGGGGAGAGGGAGGTGGACTTTTAAAAACTGCCAATTGCCAAATCAACGCTTAACCAACAAACTTCCAGAAAACATTGAAGCGGAGCCCAGTAGAGATCTTCAAAGTGGCATTTTACTGACAGCAGGTTTCATAACAAACCAAACATTTCCTTCCCTCTCCCTTTCCCTTCTTTGTCATAGATGGAATCCTGAAAAGGATCATAAATTATTTGTACACACTAGGGGGCAAGGACCTCGGACAGATGTTAAATATTCTCTTGTTAAATAGACTGACTCTGACTTGCATCACATGTGACTGAGGAGTTCTGTGATGGTCATGTGCGTTCTTTCCCCCTAAGAGATAAAAGAACTAAACGCGGGTGGGTGATGGGATCCTGTAGCTGCATACTGTTTAGGGGCACTGACAACTGATACGGTCCAAGTGAAGCATACACCATGGAAGAGCAGGGATAGGAGCTGGCGTGGTGGTGATGTGTAGAGGCACAGGACACGTGGAGCAGGTGTGCCTTCAGCAGATCTGCCTCGATCACACAGGACACTCAGGAAAAACACCTGCCACCATCTGCCAGGACCCGGTGCGACTGTGTCGTGATTGTATGCGTGCAGGCTATGGCGGGGTTCTCCCCAGCTTCAGGGTGAATTATTCTGGAGAATGGAGGGGTAGGTATCTAATTTATGAGAAAGGATCTGTATGAGAAACCAGTAAGTGTATCCTGTTCTGTAAGCGCCCCCCAGTTTTATTCCTTCAGCTAGCCATTGTTCAAAAAGTTGATCTGTGAGTCCACTGCCTGTGTGTGCCACTGCTTCCTAGGTGCAGGGCTGAGGAGGGGCTTTCCCTCTTCCTGAGAATTCCTGAAGAATATCTAGTGGTAATGAAGAAATGACTCAGAGAACCCCAGATCCAGGATGGCCCTCTGTGAGTCATTGTACTAGTCTGCTTTTGGGAATCCCACACATGTACCACACAAATACACACACACACACACACACACACACACACACACACACACACACACGCCACAAATACCACACATATACATGCACCATATACACTATACATACATGCCCCCCACAGCATGCTTCATGCATATAAACACATGTATATTGTACATATACAAGCACCATATACAGCACAAAGATCATATCACACACAGATACATAGACACACATACCACACATGTATATATGGTACAGATATCACAGGTATCAGTGATATACATATAAACAGCACCCACCTACACCACAAACACTACACATGAGCATATATTATAAAGACATACCAAACATATATCATACCCATATACCATACACAGTACACACATATATGTTGCACTTGCATATACTATTGATATGTAGTATATATATATATATATATATATATATATATATATATATATATATACCACATACATACAGAGGACTTGGCCATCTCAGTTCTACCTATATCCAGCCCAAAGGCCTTTATAGGTATTAAAAGATGCCCACTAATCAAATCATTGTAGCCAGAAATGTGAAATTTTCACATTATTATTTTTTTTAAAGAGTACATATTTCCTGTATGAAGGTTTAGAGACAGTATAAGCATTTCTTTTAATTTTTGTTTGTCATTGGAAAGAAACTTGGAACTAAAAACAAGGCCCGTGGTGTGCACCAGGGCCCGGATGGTGTTCAGGCATGGTACCGTCTGCAGCTTACAAGCTC